GCTGGTTATGAGCACATTCTGGGAAAATTCTGCTAGAAAAGGGTCACATTTGGCTCTTTGCTGTTGATATTTTGATTCTCTGTTTGGTTTTTGATAAAATGCTGCTGCTGGATGACTGGAATGCCAGGGGTTAGCTGAGCACATGATCCTCTGCCCACCTCAATCCAGACATTGCAGCACCACATCAGGAAAATTGCCTTCTTTAGGAAAGCGTGATAGATTCTATTTCCAGAGTTTGGCTGCCTTGTTTGGTTGGTTTTGGGGGGTTGGTTGGTTGGTTTCTGCAGGTTCTATTTAATCCCCTCAGTTTGTTATTGATGAGCTGCACTGCCCACAGGCTCAATCAGCAAACCATTTATGCACCTTTAACTTCTCTTGACTCCCGTGGATACTTCAGGATGAGGAACTCACTCAGATGTTCCTCCAAATTGGAGCCAGGCCTTTTTTTTTTTCCTTCAGCAGGGGCAGCTGGAACAGCTCTGAACCTCATTCCTCAGTCTGAAGAGGAATGGACTGATTTCCAATTAAACCACTTTATCAAATCTTAAAATATTCAATAAAGCCACTCACCAGGTTCACAAATACAAAACCAACATTGTTGCTTTGCCCTGATTTCCACAGTAATAAGAAGATGTGATGCAACACCAAGGGAAGCACTGTTTGAAATGGCCACAAAGCACAAATGTGGAACCCTTGTCTATTATATTTTCCGTTTTACATCCTTGTTCTATGCTTTGTCAGAGACATTTCTGTCAAATGCTTTTCTGAAATGATATTTTTCAACTCCATGCAATTAATAAGAATTTAGAATGCTGGCTGTTCCTGAGACACAACATAACTTTTACAGTGATTTCCTTTTGATACTACTCCAAAATTAAATCCCTGGAATTAGAGAGACAAAGGTTATTATCAAAGCTCTCAGACAGAATAATAAGCTGATACCAGTAACCACCTTTTCTGCAAAGTGGAAACAATAATTTTTTGTAAGAATTTCACATTTACATACAACTAGTCTGAATTAAATGTTGATCCCTTAATAAGTAAAATCTGCTCACTGGGGTTGCAGAAAATGAGGCTCTTCAGGGAAACTCTTAGGCATGGAAGCAAAGCACAGGAAAAAGCATTTATGGCAATGTTACAGGGGTCCCCAGTTAAGTAAAAAACTGTCCAGTCCACATTGGCCAGACTGGAAAAACCATAAAAGCTCTTACACTGTGCTACACATCTCAGTAACCTCAGTAAAACCCACAGGAATTCTTATATCCTTCAAAATTTCTACCTAAAATGGATTATCTTCAATAAATGGATCATATTAGAACCAGTGCCTGGGAAATTAGAGGGTTTATGACACTTTGTGCACGAGTTCCCTCACTCCCAAATTGTCCTTAATTCTCCCTCAATTCCTGCTCTATTGACCAACAACTGTGCTTCCCAGAAAACCAACTGGATTTCCCCACTGTCAGAAGTGCTCTGGAAACAGCCTTTGAGACTTTCTAAACCACCTCCCATAAATGATCTGCTGTGCTCAAGTCATTGCACAAAGAGCTTGAGAGGGTTATTGTCTCCTCAGCACCTCCAATAATCACTTTAATGGGAAATACAGGGAAAGGTGTTCAAGTGGTGAGGGTTTTTACTCCAGGCATTTGCTCCTGGAGTGGGAGAGCTGGCTCTGAATGCAGCAGGTTTTCCTCTGCTTCTCTACAAGAGATGTAAAATCCAGCACTGAAGAAGCAGATTGTAAGAAACAGCATTCAGGAACAGGGGGTGTGACACAGGCAGGAAAATAATGCCAAAGGACACGTGCAAACCCCAATTTTCTGTGAGTCTCTGTGATTCTGAAGCAAATAACATTGTGTTTCTGCCTGAAGCAATAAAACACCAGGAGGAACTGTCCAACACAAGGCAGCAGTTGGTTGTTTATGGGGCCTGAGTTGATCCTCACTGTATGATCTGTGACCATGACACACCACTGACAGTCACTGAGGGGATGAAACCACCACTCCCCTCTTCCCCCCCCTCCCCCCAAAAAAAATAAATTCCAAGCCTTAATGATTTTTAAAAGTACAAAAACTTGCTTCTCATTTCAATTTTTCATAGAAACCAAGGCCAGATAAACCCATAACAAAATAGGTGAATGTTATGAGGTTGGAAATCACAGAATCCCAGGATGGGTTGAGTTGGAAGGGACCTTAAAGCCCATCCATTTCCATGCCCTGCCATGGCCAGGGACACCTTCCACTAGCCCAGGTTGCTCCAGCCTGGCCTTGGACACTTCCAGGGATCCAGGGGCAGCCACAGCTTCTCTGGGCAACCTGTGCCAGGGCCTCCCCACCCTCACAGGGAAGGACTTCTTCCAGATATCTCACCTAATTTTCCCCTCTGTCAGTTTGAACCCATCACTCCTTGTCCTGTCACTACAATTCCCGGTGAAATCTTGTGCTCAGCTAAAGGCTCAGTTCAGGTCTCCTGAGGAGTTCATGGTCCCACTGTGAAAAGCCTCACTGTGCTCCCAAAATTCCCTCTTCACGAACCCCAAGAACTATTTTATGTTCATTACCCAACTCATGATAAAGCAGCAGAGAGCGGGGAGTTACTTGGGTGTTCTCTAGAATTATGGCATCATTAAGGTGGGAAAAGACCTTTCAGATCCCCAAATCAGATGCTCAATGCAGGCCCACCACCATGTTCTCCACTGAACCACAGCCCAAGCGCCACAGACATCTAATCTGTCCCCACCCCACTGCAGGATGAGCTCAGTTTAATTTTGGAGGCTGTAAAAGAAATCCAGGGCAAGTAATAAGAAGCAGAAATCCCAGGCGGGTTCCCCCCCTTGCCAATACTTTTCCACACAGTTTATTTCCACACCTAAGTACCACAAAAAAATCCTAATTTCTCAATGGCTCTGCTGTAAAGAACTGCCAGGAGTCAACTGGTTTTGCTATTTTTTTTGTTAAAGACACAGAAAAATAATCCCAGAGCAGAAAGCAGGACAGCACAGAGGTCACACTGTCTCCCTTCCACTGGAATTTACATGGAATACTAAACCATGAAAAAATTTAGATAATTTATGCTTGTGACAAAGGTTGTAACAAGAACAAGAAATGGAAGAAGCTAATTCTTCATATGGGAAACAGTAAAATTATAATTCACTGTAATCGCTGCCTTAGATTTTAATTTTCTGGTTCCCCTGGGCTCCATAGCAGGAGAAGCTGAAGGACCTCCCAGAAAAATTAAAAAGGAATTTATATCCATGAAAAAAATTGACTCATAAATAGTTACAGATTATATTGCGAGTTCTCATCAGACCTGATAAAAGCAAAGCAGAAAGCCTAATTTAGCTTGTCAGAGCTTTTTAATAACGGTCCTTTCAATTAAAAATCTGAGAAATGCATAATTGAAAACTCCTATTGTTTCCAGTAAACAAAATTGTGGAAAGAGCTGCTGGAAAACAACACCCCAACCAAATCTATTCTTCCCTCTGATCTGTTTTCTCTCCAATTTTACTCAGTTTCGAGCTCAAAGACTGAAATAAAAAGCAACCCATCATTAGCCCAGAGAGTGCAGCACATGGAGCAAAATACAGATAACAGGAGCCTTGTCCTGCCAGTGCCCAGCAGGGACACCACACAAAGCTCAGACATTCTGCTTTTGTCTCCAGAAATGTGTTCACTGTGATGACAACAGAGAGCTGGGAACTGGGAAGCTGTTGGAACTGGCCCCCTGCTATTTTGGGGCAGCATTTCTGGGCTCACACAGGTCTCACTTGGTCTGCAATCAATGAAGGGAAGGAAGCGAAAAGGAATCAGTGAGACAACACCCACACTGAGCCAACTTTCAAATCCCACCAGTCAGAAAGCCTCAGCTTTTTCACTCTCTTCCCCACAGCAAAAAAAAAAAAAAAAAATACCCCACAACTGTTTAACAAAAGCTGTTAGGGTTGTTCAAATCCCTTTCCCAAACACAGGGAATTCTGAGGTGGAATGAAGCACCTCGAGGAACACTCCTTTCACTTGCTGCCTGTCAAAGAGCATCTTGGCAGTATCCCAAGGAAATTCAAAGGAGGCACATCCCACATTTCACAAGTGCTCTGCCACAAAATGCTGCTTTGCCCACTTCTTCAGGGCCTTGGTTTCAGCAGCAAGTAAAAAAATAAAAAGGAGAAAAATAATAAGAAAATGATAACTGAGAAATGACAAAGTTTGGGTTTTTTCTTAAAAGGAACCAGATTCCTTGGCATTTTTAGCAGGAAGTAATTTGATTTTAATGAAAATTCATTCAATTTATCTATTCATTAGTGAAAGATGATTAGAGGGATGGAACAGCTCTCCTGTGAGGGCAGGTTGGGAGAATTGGGATTGTTCAGCCTGGAGAAGAAAAGGCTCTGGGGAGACCTTATAAGAACTTTCAGTGCCTAAAGGGGCTCCAAAGGAGCTGGGAAGGGACTCTGGACAAGGGCTTGGACTGACAGGACAAGGGGAATGGCTTCCCACTGCCAGAGGGCAGAGTCAGATGGGATATTTGGGAAGGAATTGTTGGCTGTGAGGGTGGGGAGGCCCTGGCCCAGGTTGCCCAGAGAAGCTGTGGCTGCCCCTGGATCCCTGGAAGTGTCCAAGGCCAGGTTGGACGGGGCTTGGAGCAACCTGGGCTAGTGGAAGGTGGCATGGGATGGGATGGGATGGGGCAGGGGGTGGGATGGGATGAGCTTTAAGGTCCCTTCCCACCCAACCCATCCTGGGATTCTGAGGGTAACATGACTCTTCACCTCCATCCAGTTCTGAACACTCATGAAAAAGGATGGAACACTCTGGGGACAGGGAGTGCTTCTCTCCCAGGCTGAACAACAGCTCTGCCATTCCAGAGCTGCCCCTGCCCCATCCCATGAGGAACAGAGCTGCCAGTCCTACAGGAGGAGCAGCTGACAGCAAAAATGCCTCCTTAAGGATGCAAAAAGCTTTCCTCTTCTGCCCATCCTTTTCCTTGGAGTCCATCAGAAAACCAACCTGAGAAAATCGTAGAAAACTGGTTTATTTCTTGCACAAAGAGAATGAAGATTGTTGGCAGGAGCACAGATTTCTGGATAAAAATGTGGTTTTTCTCTCTCACACTCGAGCTGGCTGGGAAAATAGAAAAAGAGACTCATTTAGCTCTATCTTTACTAAATATTTCTTTTGGTTTTGCCTGAGGTTCCTGACTGTGCCTCTGTTTTTTGTCATGTCTTTCTAATAAACTGCATAGTTTACATTGTATTTTTTCTGTTTGCTGGATAAACCCACAGTTTGTGAGGTTTCAAACTACCTCACAAAGTTGAACTCATACTTTTGTACCTTATTTCACAGCACCTTATATGCATTTAAGGCATGTTTTTCCTATGCCTCAGCCCCATAATTGGGCCAAACTGACCAAACAGGGTTTGGCCACAGCAGTTCCCTGCAGATTTCTCTGTCTCTCTCCAAGCAAACACAGAGTTCATCTCCCTCTTCCCACCAAAAACTGCAGCAAATCTTAATTTGGAGCCAGCCAGTGCAGCAGAAAAATGGGCTTTCTGCAATAATGACACACTTAAAACATTTGAGAATCGATCATAAGTAAAACAGAATAAAGAAAGGGCACCAATTCAATGCTAAGGAAGTATATCCACAATTTTTCCCAAAATACTGTGGCATGTTTGGCTCAGTCAGAACTTGGTACCTTTAGGGTCAGTTCTCCCCAGCTGCAAAGTGTGTCAGTTGGAGTTGTAGGCAATAGCTTTAGTATTTTATTTTTTTATTTTATTTTTTATTCCAAAGAGGATGGTTTGCCTCCAGCTGTGAACTTCATCCAGAAGGCTAAGTATCAGTGGCAAAGAAAAGAATAAAACTGATGCACAAGACTAAACCCCTTCTCACAAGAAACAACCTGATTAGGCCTTTATTTACTACAGCATGTAGATAGATTGGAATTATTTTCTGTAATATTTTACTTTCAAAGACAGTTCCTTTTTCGTGTTTCAATTTGCACTGATATAAGAATACATCTTTTTTTAAAAAAAAAAAAATACCCAACACCTTAAAAGTATTTTCCTACTTCCAACAAATCCTTTTATCTAAGGGTGAGACCAGGTTGTTACTTGAGATTGTTTGCATAAAATCTCATTAGCCTACTGATTCTACTTCTAACACCTTAGGTAGTACTTCATTACCATGCAAATAAAGACAGGCTTTTCACATGTAGCTTGATGCAGGACTGATTGCTCTCTTTTAGGTAGCACCAGCAACAAAACCCTATTAATGAAAGTCATCAATAATTGCTCAACAGGTGAAAGGGATTAGATTCAAACAGAGCCTCTCTCATCACCAGAAATCTCCTTTACCCCTCCAAAACATAAATTCTGTTGAATACCATCCTCAGGAAGCTGAAAGGCACCGAGTTTCATCCTTTTCTCCCACAGAGGGACACAACACAGTCAGGGGAAAATATTCTGAAATTCAGAGTGAAATCCTGAACACAACAAAAGCAGTGGGGTTTTCAATGCTGGCTTCTTCCCCCACATCCCAGCCCTGTGCCTGTCAGCCAGTTCCAGTGATGGCACCATCTTAATTTAAACACTTCTCACATGGAAGATCAATGCTTGAATGTGGCACATAGAGTTATGGAATGGTCTGGGTTAGAAGGGACCTCAAAGCCCATCTCCACCCCCTGCCCTGGGCAGGGACACCTTCCACTAGCCCAGGTTGCTCCAAGCCCCGTCCAACCTGGCCTTGGACACTTCCAGGGATCCAGGGGCAGCCACAGCTTCTCTGGGCTAGATGACCTTTAGGGTCCCATCCAACCCAAACTGTGCTATGATTCTGTAAAATCCTATTTGCACTCCAGCAGGCTCCAAAGCTGTGTTGTTTTAACCATAACTGCCCTCCAGAAATTAAGCAGAGCATCACTGGGACTCCCCCTGGGACAGACACCCCAACAACCCCCCCTGTGCCCCAGAGGATCATCCAAACCCTCCTGGAGCTCTGGCAGCCTTGGGGCTGTGCCCACTGCCCTGGGGAGCCTGGGCAGTGCCCAACCACCCTCTGGGGGAAGAACCTTTGCCTGAGATCCAACCTGACCCTGCCCTGACCCAGCTCCAGCTGTTCCCTGGGTGCTGTCCCTGCTCACACAGAGCAGAGCTCAGCACTTGCACCTCTGCTTGATAACCTTATTCGTGAGTAGGTTTTGCACATCATCCCAGCAGGCTGGGAATCAGCCACCCTTAATTCCTTGTGCAGACTGGGAGTTGAAGAAGATGAGAATTTTGGTTTGGGGGAGGCTTTGCACAAATTTCACCCCATTAATAGTGTTGCCTCTATTAACGTGTCTGTGGGGTCTGAAATGGCAGCTCTTGGGTGTGACCACACCAAATGCAAAGCAATAAAATCACTGCTCAGTCAGGCCCAGGGGGTTTCATACTTCATGCTGGGTTTTCTCTCAAGGCATTTTTGCTCCAGTGAAGCCAGCTGCATTTTGCTGCCTTTCAAATCTGCTTTGTGGATTTATTTTTTCCCCTCTCCTATCTGGTTTCTTTCCTGCTACTTCCCAGATCTCTGCTGAGCTCTTTCTGAAGAACACAGGGCAAGAATTCCTGCAGGGACACCTTCACCATCCCCACCTTTGAGGTAGCAGATCTCTGCTCTGTGTGAGCAGGGACAGGACCCTGGAGCAGCTGGAGCTGTGTCAGGGCAGGGTCAGGTTGGATCTCAGGAAAGGTTCTTCCCCCAGAGGCTGGTTGGGCACTGCCCAGGCTCCCCAGAGCAGTGGGCACAGCCCCAAGGCTGCCAGAGCTCCAGGAGTGTTTGGACAACGCTCTGAGGGACAGGGGGGGATTGTTGGGGTGTCTGTGCAGGGCCAGGGGTCACACTGGATGGTCCTTGTGTGTCCCTTCCAGCTCAGGACATTCCATAATTCTGATACCTCTGTGTGATAATGGGAGAAGGGGAATGAGAAGAGGGAGAAGGGGAGGGAGACACGCTGAGAATTCACTGCTGCTTGAGCTGAGCTCTCCAGTTTTGGGAAGCAATGAGAGCACTGAGTCATTTCCTCCCCAGTGTCACTGCACAAAAGCTGTCCAACGTTTTCCTATTAAGAAAAAATTCTTTCCAGGCACTAATTTGCCACGTGGCTCAGTAACAAGGCTCAGCCGAGCATTTATCACCTCTGCACTCAGAGCAAGCTTTGCTCACTTCTCCTATCTCTTCTTTGCTCTCTTTCCCTGCTCCCTGGTGTCCCAGGTGTTTCCTTTTCCTCTGGAGGGCTGTGGCTGAGCAGTGGAGAGCAGGGACAGCACCCAGGGAATGGCTGGAGCTGTGTCAGGGCAGGGTCAGGTTGGATCTCAGGGAAAGGTTCTTCCCCCAGAGGGTGGTTGGCACTGCCCAGGCTCCCCAGGGCAGTGGGCACAGCCCCAAGGCTGCCAGAGCTCCAGGAGGGTTTGGACAACGCTCTGAGGGACAGTGGGATTGTTGGGGTGTCTGTGCAGGGCCAGGAGTTGGACTGGATGGTCCTCGTGGGTCTCTTCCAGCCCAGGATGTTCTGTGATTCCATGAACCAGGATCAGAGATGTGCAGAGAAGAAATACAGGGATGCAACAAAAACGCTGGAAGGAGCTTCCAGCACATTTTTCATAACATGTGCAAACACAGGCACAGAGCAGCAGCAACACTGGAAATGTGGCTGTGAGAGACAGTAACAGACACACCTCTTTGAGCAGAGTGCCAAGTGAGGGGAAAAAAAAATAAATTAAAAAGCCCCCTAAGATTTTAAGTGAAGAGAACTCTTACCCATTCATCACAAAGTTAGGATCAATGGAGCCTTTGTGTAAGCAGACAGGACTTGGCTATGAATTTCTCCTGGCCAAAAAAGAACCAGGAATAAAGAAAACATCAAGAAACCTGGCAGGTAAAAAAGAGAAAACCATTTTGATCACATAGTAAAAAGCATGTGCACTGCATTTTTGGATTTTTTTCTTTCCTAACAGCTCCAACAAGTCCATTTATTGTTCACTTTGTCTGCTCCTTGTTGGCAGTGAAAATAGAAGGAGGAGCAGCAAGATGTGTGTGGCTACTGTATTTATTGGTGTCCTCAGCTAGTTTTGCCATCTTCTGCAGCCCAGAGAACTTCTAATAATTGCTGAGTTTCAAGGTTGAGCTTTTCCCTGAATTAATGAGAAGAAATACACAGTATTTGGGGAACATGTTTGTGAAAAGAGGAAGGAAATTTCATTTACATGGAATGAATTGGGCCCAATTTCTGCAGCAATTGGGAGCTGAAAGGCAGAGCTTTGCTATAATGCAGTTTGATTACCATTGTTGGCTTCCTTTTCATTACTTTATCCAAGAAGCAGTAGAAAAAGCTAAGAATCTATTATCAAAAACTCCAGCAAGGTGGGGGGGAGAAGGACTGAATACATGAAATAAAAAAAAAATTTAGGTGTTTTGAGAAAAATCTCCTGCTTAGAAGTAAAGGGTTTACTGTTGCTTAATCACCAAGAAATAAATATGTAAGAAATTCTGTTCTGTCTCGTAAAAGCAAAGCAAATTAATTCTGTAGGTATATCTATAATAATGATGATATTACACAACTCAAGCAAAACCAGCTAATGAATCCTACTGACTAAAAACACCTCGTTCAGTTCTTAACATTCCAGTCACAACTGCCAGAATTTCCAGTTCTGCTGTCAGAAGATAGAGATGGCATAAAAGGAAAAGCAAAACTCCTAGAAAGTCACGTGTAATATTTACTAATCACTACAAATCGAGAAAGATTTAAGAATTCTCGTGCCTTCAGCTGCCAAATATCATCTGAAAGGTTTTAATGCTTTCTAAGACCCTCATTGCCCTTTCACTTGCAAATTTTAGACAGGATTACATTTCCTTGGTTGGTTTCTTTGCACAGAAATTGTGCTTTAAGCAAGTAATCAGCATTAAATGATTAACACAGACAAGAAACAAACAATACAGACAACTTTCTCTGTGTTCTCTTCTTTGATGCACTTCAGAAAACAAGAAAAATTAAAAAAGCTGATGGAAAAAAGCAGTGCCAGAGCTTACCCTGAAAATCTGTGGCTCTTTCCTTTGGGATTTTTCGGGTTTTTTTCCATTTTTTTTAAGCACTATAACCCAGGTATCAAAACTTGTATTTGATAAGTCAAACCCAGACCATTATTGGGTGAATATTAGGGACAGGGAGGGGAACAGGAGACAGAGAGGGAAAGAAGAGAGAGGGAAAGGGGAAAGGAGAAAGGAATCAGCCCATTGGTTCTGAAAGGGTTACTTTTGGACAGGTCAGTGTTAATAAACATAAATACCACCTGGTACCCCCTTGATCCCAAGCTAATATATGTTAATATGCAATTGGGTCTGTGTCCAGGTGAGTTGTTCCTATTCCAATTCACTTTGAAAGCTATTAAGTTAAATTGGACATTTGCAAAACTGTGAGACAATTTGCATTCCTGCTTAGAAAAATCTATAGTCTGAGTAAATCACCCTCAAAGCCTCCTCTCTGTTAAACTAAAATACAAGGCTGAATATTAAAAAGCAAAACTCACCTGTTGCCAGCAGTGATGGACTACCTTTGCTTAAAAGACATTGCTTAATTAAAAACAAATGGGGTTAACATGAATTAAAGCAAGGACCTCAAGTGCAATCAACAGTCAAGTCAATCTGAGAGCGGTGTGACCTTTAAAGGAGAATGTTTTCACTAGTTAAACACATTTTGGGAAAGAAATATAAGGTTAGGAAAAAAAAAAAAGAAAAAGACAAGGGGCTGTTAATAGGCTGTGAGAAAAGAATCTCTAGAAAAGCAATCTTGCACCTGGCAAGTAAGGCAAGGACTTATATTTTTAATGAATATTTTCTGTGCACTTTCATTTCTCCTCTCTATATTGTTGTGCCCAACTGCCTAAAGTTAAATCAAAAGAGGCACTCACCGGGGACAAATAACCCAAACGAGCCTAACAACAACAAAAGGACTGTTATCCACAGGAATAACAAAACTTCTAAGGAAAAAACAAAATCAGGGGGCCATTAATTAGAAAATTAGTTCCAAGCAAGCCAGCAAGGTTTATTTTTATGTGTAAAATGGGAATGTTGCTGTTTACATCTCTCGGAGGTCTTTAGTGATGCTGACTGTGAAGAAAGTCAGAAAGGCTCAAAAATAAAGGGATTTTTTTCCACACTTCAAGGCTCAATGGCAGAAGAACCAACAAATTCCCTCTGAACTTCTCCACCAGAACATGAATAATGGGGTTTATTGGGGAAAGGGGTATGAGAGAACAGCTGGGTGTGCATCTGGCAGCCAGCCAGGGGTCACCTCAACCCACTGTTTACCCATAAAGGTTCCTAAAAGCTTGGGAGAGGTGTCTTTCTCTCCATTCTGAAAATTCCCAGTAAAGGAGGCTTTGGAGGATGCCACGCTGCCAGCCCTGTCCCCTGGGGAATTTCCATTAGGGCAGGAACACAGGCCTGTGAGGAACTTCCCAGGGAATGAGTGAGATGAGAAGTTTTATAGCAGAAAACTTATTTCGTCTCTCACAACTCGCTTGATTGCTTTTTCCATTATTATTGGAAAGTCATTCCAGAACCTCATTTCCTCTATCTGTGAGCAAACTTCTGAAGTCCAGCCTGAATTTATGAGCAGACTATTTGAAACCACTCATTCTTATGCTAACATTTCCCTATAACTTTCTCCATTGATTACTTTTCTCTCTCAAGTGCCTCTCAAGAGAAAGTCTATCGCCTGTCAACCTTAATTTCACGAGGTATCATCATATAAAATAGGTCTCCATTTCTTTGGTCAATCTAATCATTTTAGAAAAATATGGGACATTTTTCAAGATAAATGTTTGAGAGTTAGGATTTAACATGAGTAATTGCACTTTGAGTCAGAGAGCACCTTAAGACAGGGGCGGCCTTTTGCTTCCATCCCTCCTGCTCCCTTCTTAAAAGGGACTCCTCCAAAAGATGCTTTAATGAGTCTGAACCGGGGAATAAACCCTTAGAAACACGTATCATCAACAAACAAAATAAACCAGGAGCTGTCCTCTGTAATACAGCAATTTTCAAGGATTGAAGCACACGATTCTTCCCTTTCTTTCCAAAACAAGGGTTTACGCACATCTTTCTTTTCTCAGTCTCAATTTAAGGCTCTCTTCCGGGGAATAAAAAAGGTTACAAAGACTAACAGACATTTTCTCAGGAAGGTTTTCAGAATTCCAGATGGAAGGTTGAAAGGTGGAGATCAGGTTGGTCACGCACAGTTCCCAAAGCCAGGAGAAGGACTGGCACAAGGAGTGCTCTGTCTGCACACTGAAGGAAGAAAATACAGAGTCCTTCATTTACTTCACAAAGTAATCTGTAAAGAGAACAGTTTTCCACTATACAAAGTGTTCTGGTGACACCTGCAGATTCCAAAATACCAGTGGGTTTTAGACAAGTCACAGATATTTTTTGTGTCTACTCTCTGTGTCTTTTCTCTGTGTGGTTTCCATGGGTCATGTTTAGACTAAAAAACAATCATAATTTTTCAGGTGTTTGCAGGATCCTACCTTTGGGCCTGGAAGACTCTGAGGTAACTGCACCCACCCCACCCCACTGATGGGAACTTGCTGGCCCTATGGAATGCTCTCCTGGGATAGGATGACACCGTGAGTGAGTGGGAACGGTAAGAAGGGCAATGCCACACAATCTGATCTGCTCTGGAAAACCACAAACACTTCAATTGAAGCTAAACTAGCAAAAAAAAAAAAAATAATAGACTTCATGAGCATTTTAGAGCTGCTATAAAACAGGGGAAGACAAAAGTTGGGCTAATTTAGTGCTTTGTGAAAGGTCACACAAGGTTTGTGTCAGACAAGAACACAACCCATTTCTTCCACACCACAAACATGAGGCCATTCTTTCCTTCTCCAGACCAGGGTGATTTGTCTGTCCAGGTCCTAATTTACAGAGAGAGATCACCCATTTCCACTCCTTCTTTTCAAAATTAGGTAAAAGTTAGAAATCAGGTTGCACATGGTGTCCCCACAGAGATTCACTGTCATCTGAAGTCTCCCTGATGTGAGGAGCTCAAATTAATTTACTGTCTTTCCTGGTGTAGACAAACTATAAACAACATCATTTACTGTGACCCGAGGTGCTGTTTCCCCTTCTTATTTTTCAGGTATGTTTTAATAAGCTTCAGAGAAATCCAAATGCAGGAGGAGACACTGAGTGACAAGAATAATTTACTGAGACTTGGAGATTCACATCCCTCTTGATTTTAACACAATGGCAGCTTTCACTGCCTTTAAAAAGGAAACTGAGGAGCTCTGCACTCTGCAGTAGCCAGGCTTAAAACTCTCTCCAGGCACTTTCAGCTCCTCTGAAGTGGCTTTGTGAGAGGCAAACGCGAGGTTGCAGAGTCAGGAGCACCACAGTCAGCACCGGGACCAGGAGGGGATTTAACACAAACTGCCAAAAAGGGTAAATGAGCCCCAAATCCCCCTGTGTGGAGTCAGAGGTGAAATAAGGAATTTAACAGAAGTACTTGCTGCCAACAGGATCCACAGACCTGGCAGAGCAGCTGCTCTGTACCTGGGCTTCAGGGAGACTTTGGGGAGCCAAGAAGAAAGTCCAAGCCTTAAAAGCCAAGCTGTCCATCCCCACCCCAAACCTTTCCTCCCTCAAGTGTTTTGAGAGCATTTACTTCACTCAGGATGTCTGGCTCTGAGTTGCAGCCCTTCCCCACAGCTTTGGAAGGTTTTGAGAGTCTCTCTGAGGTTACAACAGGAGCTCATTAACCTTCTCCCTGTCGGGAGAGGAGGAGGAGAGCAAGTCACCTCCGAGGAGGATCTTCAGTTCGGTCCTCTTATTAAACTGATGTCTGGCAAGTCAGGAGAGGAGATCCCACCTTCACACAGAGAGGGTTGTGGAAGATCATCCTTTGAAGGCACAGCAGGATGTTCTCAGGTCACACATGTGCCGTGAGCCCCACTGAGGAATGAAAATGTCAGCAACAGCAGCCTCCTGGAACACTCCCAGAGCAGAGAAAATGTGATATTGTTTATTGGCATCATTGCTTTTGCCCAGAGCACAGACAAAAAACTTAGTTTGGACAAAATACCAGTAAATGAAACATGAGAGAAACAAAATGTTTTATTTTTATTATCATTGCTGTTCTTATTTCAGAAGGAAGTCACGAGGGGGATTTCCCATGAAACACTGGTTTTCTTAAAGACCTTCTAATATCAGACTGAAACTACAGCCAGCCGCCACCACCACGGGAAGAAAAAGAAAGCCAAGGCTCTAAGGAAATTGCAGCACTTAAGGACACTTCGGTTTTATCACCAGGCAGGGGGGAAATGCCTGATTTCCTGGTGGCTGCTCTCTCAGCCTGATCACAGTGAAGGATACTCACCCTCCGACCACCCTGCTCAGCATCCCTTTTCACCCACCCCTTCCAGCTATTAGCAAATCCTCAGGGAGTGTTAATTGCTGGCTAATTCCAGGCTGGCTGCCATTGGCAACGCTGAGATGCCAAAAGCATTTAGGAGCACTGATGTCCAGGATATTTTGGAACAAAAAAAAAATAAAATGCTTTTAGAGCCTTGTCTATCACATGGCATTACTTTTCCCTTCAGCAACTTTAAATGCAGTAACTTGTTCTGATCCTGAAAGGACACAAACCTGGCACCTCCAATCTGCCAATCTGTGTGTATTTTGCTGGCTCAATTTATCAATAATACCAGAGTGTGAATCAAAACAGCCAGGGCACAAATGCCTGTTCCCTTCTGCCGCTCAAGAACAGAGAGAATAAAATCCATTCAAGGGGTAAAGTGCACAGTTAACGCTCAAATCTGCTACATCAAGAGGTCCCGAAGCCTTGCCTAATGCAAACCCCCTTCAAAAATACAGAGAAAAGTACAAAAGAATTTCAATTAAGAGAGAAATACTGAGTTTAAAGCACACTCACGCACTACTAACAGGGTTTTGTGGGGGAGTAGCCATAGCAAAATAATGCTCTAGTGGCTTTAAAAGAAAAACAAGGTGAAATCCCACATGGGTCCAGTAAAATCTGGCACTCTATTAAAGAGTGGGCTCTGAATTCACCCTCTGAGTACATCCCACCTGAGTGGGCTCTGAATTCACCCTCTGAGTACATCCCACCTGAAAAGCCCAGACACACAGCTATGTGTCTGCTCAAACACACATCTTAATTCCAAGTTTAAATACTTGCCATGCAAATACCAATTTAATGCCTGTAAAGCAGTTAAAATCCAACTCAGAAGCCTGTGCACAGAGTAAGCTTTATCTGTCTCACATATGAGGCAAATAATTGACAAGCTGCTTCCTTTCTGCAAGACAAAATGTTTATCACAGTGTTTCCCAAATCAATACCAGAGAACTGCAGCCAACTGAGAGGCCTCTGATACTTAGACCAAGTGGTGGAAAGTACTTTTGCTCGCAGGAGGCATCCAGCAAAACTTGTGACCAAAAGGGCAAGAGAATCACAAGAGGCTGCTTATAGACTGCCAAAAACACTGGAAAGGTGGCTGGCAAAATAAAAGAAACCAAGGTAAGCAGCATCATCACCATTTCCTTTTCGGGAGGAGCACAAGAGCATAAAAACATCAGGTATCAGCAAGGAAAATGGGAGAAAAGAGATGTAGTGGGTTGACCCTGGATGCCAGGAACCCACCAAAGCCTCTCTATCCACCAGCCTTCTCAGCTGGACAGGGCAGGAAAAATATAACAAAGGTTCATAATTTGAAATAAGGTCCAGGGGAGATCCCTCACCAAACACCGTCACGGGCAAAACAGACTCAACATGTGGAAATCAACTGGATTTGTTATGAATCAAAGGCAGAGCAGGGGAATGAGAAGTAAAACTAATCTTAAAAACACCTTGCCTCCACTCTCCCTCCTTCCCAAGTCTTACCTCCTGTCCCCCAGTGGTGCAGGGAGATGGGAATGGGGGTCACAGTCAGTTCACCCCAGGTCATTCCTGCTGCTGCTCAGGGAGAGGAGTTGGAGTCCTTCCCCTGTTCCCCTGGGGTCCCTCCCACGGGGGACAGTCCTTCACCAGCTTCTCCAGTGTGAGTCCATGCCATGGCAACAGTTCTCCAGGAGCTGCTCTCACTTTTCCACGGGGTCAGTCCTTCAGGCACAGCTCCAGGACCACAAATCCTTCCAGCAAACCTGCTCCAGCGTGGGCTCCTCTGTCCAGGGGCTGCAGTCCCTGCCAGAAGCCTCCTCCAGAAAGAGTTTCCTACAGGATCACAGCCCCCTTTGGGCACCCCCCTGCTCCCTGTGGGCTCCTCCCTGGGCTGCAGGGGAGTCTCTGCTCCATCACAGCCCTTCATGGGCTGCAGGTGGGTCTCTGCTCCATCATGGGCTGCAGGGGGGTCTCTGCACCCTGCTACTCCTCCCTGGGCTGCAGGTGGATCTCTGCTCCATCATAGCCCTCCCTGGGCTGCAGGGGGGTCTCTGCACCCCGCTGCTCCTCCCTGGGCTGCAGGCACAGCTCCTCACCGTGGGCTTTCCCACGGGCTGCAGGGGAACCTCAGCTCTGGCTCCTGGAGCACCTCCTGCCCCCTCCTTCTGCGCCAACCTTGGGGTCTGCAGGGCTGTTCCTCTCACATATTCCCACTCTGCTCTTCTCTGGACCCAATTACCTCTGCACAATGATTTATTTTTTCCTTCTTAAACGTGTTATCCCATAGGCATTGCCATCATTCCTGCTGGGCTCGGCCTTGGCCGGTGGTGGGTCCATCCAGAGCCAGCTGGAATTGGCTCTGCAGGACATGGAGGAAGCTTCTGGCAGCTTCTCCCTGTACCCCCCCACTACCAAAACCTGACCACGCAAACCCAGTGCACACCACCCACCTCAGGGTGGTCTTTTCTCATGGATGAGCTCCCACCCTTGTTCACCTGGACCTCAGGCTCCAGGAACACCCAGCCCAGGGCCACCAGCACGAGGAGGCATCACCTCCCCGTGTACAATGAGCTGGCCACTAACAACCCATTTAGAGCCTTAGTGAGAGAGAATAAAGGCTTTGTGTCCCCAGAACTGGTGATTAGCACCGTGTGAGAGCTGCCAGGAGCATGTTGTCAGTGAATGAATTTAGGCCCGTCCTGCTTTTTCAGTCTTTGAAGCCCCCCCATCCCAGCAGTCTCCACATCCCTAATTTATGTGTGTATACACACAGTCGGTTCCAACAAAAGCTGCCCATCTATTTATTAGAATATTATACTCAAGGAACCTGACTTCAGTTTTGAAGCTGAGCTCTCCAGAGTTTTCTCATGTCACTCCATCCATCCCCACCTCCTTCCTCCTCTGCAACACAGGGAATAAAGAAGCCTCATTTTCCCTCTTCTTCTTGCACATCTCATCCATTTGATTTAAACTGTCCTTTACAAGCTGTGTAGCTTTTATATACCAAAACGTGCAAATGAACTGGGATCTCCTACATGAATACAGATGGGTCCTACAGAGTAGAAGATATTTCTCCAAGGGTGTTATATGAGCTCCTGCTCCCATCTCCCAACACATCACTGCTGTGCACCCACAGTACTCTCAAACTGGATGTTCAAAAGCCTCAAACTGAAATAGCAGCCCCATATAATTTTGGCATAGCACTGAAATCAGAGTTCTCAGACAGTAGGAGCCTTCCTCAGGCATGTTTGAAACTCCTTCAAAGGAAAGACAATGGGATATTGTGAATATATTATCTCTTAGTAAAGAGAAAAGCTGGAGTCATGCCGTGGTCATCAGAAAACCTTTCACTCCATTAGTTTCTGATGTTATTCTGCATTTTCACAAAGGAAATTTCTAACAGTTTGTCTTTTCTCAATAAATCTCTCCTTCAGTTTCTTCTCTGAGTTTTTATTTATCTAAATTTTATCAGGAAGAGACACAGCTGACATTTCTACCTGACTACCAATCTTTCTGGAGATGTGCTGCCAGATAAATGAACACATAAATGCTCTTCCTGGAGCTGCTGGAAATCAGAGAGAATTCCTCACGGGTAACACGTGTCAGCCAGTGACAGACACAGTGGAGGCACAGCCACAGCAGCATTTGGGGACAACACAGGCACTGGGGGCCCCCCTGCACAGACAAACAGGGGCATCTTCTCCAAAGATAAGCAAAGCTTGTGTCTAAATATCTGCTTTTTGAGGAAAAGTTTGATTGAAACAAACCACAGGAAAATGGAACTGCTTTGTTTCAAGGCTGAATAAGACACAGCACTGGGGTTTCCAAAGTCAACTGAGAGGTGTAGCCCCATGTCTTCTGTTTCTTTCAATGAAAAAGGTGTGTTTGTTTTATCCAGAATAATCTGAAAACCTACAGCAGAATGACACCAGTTTACTACAGCAAAGTAGGACTAAGAACAGTCACAGCCCCCAGGTCCATTCATTAAACGAATGGCACTTTGCATAAAATAATATATGAATTTTAAAACCTAAAACCCCTATATATTAAAATATATAAATTCAAAAACAATAAACAGTTGAAATGTTTGAAGATCATCACATGTCTTCTTGCACCGCTACTCTGAAACTCCAGCAGCTTCAGGAGCATATTTCTTTTGGCTGCAATGCCCCACTGTGCAATTCTCCCTGCATGGCCTGCTGGGAAACATCCTTCCTGTGCAAGCCAGAGAAAGCTTCAATTAACTCCTGTATAGAAAATTATGCTTATAATCACCTTTTTTTTTAAGGAGAGGGAAGTTTGGGGAGCAGACTGTGGTCAAAGATGAACCTGCTTGACAAGGTCAGGTGGATTCTGAAGAGAAAATTGTTGCCCGTGTAAAAGTAATTAAGCTGCACTAAAGAGAAGCTGTCAAAGCTACAGCAGCCTCAACTGGGGTAAACCAGAGCAACTAAAGCAGTTTTAATGCCTATTTACACCAGCAAAGAGTCTGGCTCTAACACTGAATGTCAAAAAAATAAGGTAGAGTTGGTGAAATTACGTAGTTTCATAAAAAGCTATTACTTAATAGTGAGGTGCTGGTGCTGAAATACCCAATTATCCCCGGGTTTATTAACCTCTGTGCTCACAAATGTCCAAGAGTGAAGCAGAAGCAGTGAATTCAGGGCAATCACACATTCCCAGAACCCTTTACCAACACAGAAAACCAGGAGCTGCTGCCAGCAGAGGAGTTCAGGTTTGGATTCCCTGCAAAGCTCCAGCTCGTTGTTCTGCTCCACAAACCCCCCCCAAAAGGGTCAGGCCAAGCTTCCTGCAGCAAAAACAAAAGCATGGACAGAAAGCCTTTGGAGCAAGGGAAAAGCAAAAAGAGGTTTAACAGCTCAAGCACAAGCTGGATTATCCGAAACACAAGTTTTCCAGGCTGAGTTGAGGATGCCTGAGCTCAGCTCAGCTCTCCCAAACCCAGACTATGCTATTCTGGGACTTAAACACTATTTCTCTTCCTATATTTCCTGGGAAAGAATTTGCAGTTAAGATCTAAATACCACCCACAGCAACCACAGATAACCTTAACTGGTGAAGAGATAAGACTTAATAATTCCTTAACTATTCCTGATGTTTCCACGATTCCCATATGTTTTGGAGGTTTGAGGGGCAGGGGTTGTTTTTCTTTTTTTTTTGTTGTTTCTTTTAATTAAGCAAAGCAGGCAATTTGTACTTGCTCTGCAATTTTCCCCCTGCCCACAGAAGGCCTTTGAACAACTGTTTCGTCCAGCTCTCTCCATTTTACCTGAGAACTCAAAGCAGACTTTCCTCTCTGCTGACAAAGTGAACCTGAGCAGTGGGAAGCCAGTAAATCTCAAGCAGCAGAGGTGCTTTATGCGCCTTAAGTACTGTAAGATTAAAAATGTGGTTTTATCACAGTGTGATGCCAACATTAATAACTAGTCTGGAGCAGGAATTCAAAGCTTTCACTGTTCTATAATTGAAAGTAGCCCAGTTGCACATGGACTCATCCAGCAACAGAGGAGCTCAGATCATCTTAGCGAGTGTTTCACTCGAACAGGAGCCTGAGAAGGGCAGTGAAGCATCACTCAGTCAGGCATTACCAACAGTGGGATGTGCATTAGCAAATGAAGCCACATGCAAGTCACAATCCAACGGCATCTGATTGCAAAGAAGGTCAGGCAAGCAGAAAAATTCATTTGTGGCACTCGCTGAGAGCAGAGCGAACATTTAAATTCGAGATTTCCAGCCCATCAACAATAGTCTTACCTGCTGCTACAGTTTCAGTTGTCCCAGCAACAAGCAGTTCTTTCTTTCAGCTTTATTATTGCTTCTCCTTCTCAATGGGCTTTTGTAAGGCAATTATGTCACAAATCTTAATTATTGTTTCATGTGATGTTTTGACTAACAATGGCTAATAACTACATCATGTAACAACCCAGCTGTCCCTCCGGAGCACGGGTACAGGGGCTGCAGCCACCACAGCTCTCCCTACAGGCACTCCCAGATCAAAGGGATGCAGAGCAGCAGGAGCAGGAGAGGCTGGAGGAGCCACAGAGCAGGGCAAAGGGCCCCCTGCCTCGAGGAGCTGCAGCTCCACGTGTGGTCACGGAGCTCCAGCACCTCTGGAGCGACAGCCAGGGTGGGACAGGGCACACCTGGAGTGAGGGAAGGGCACAGCTCACCGGGAGAGCAGGCAGGGACCACGGGGAGGGAGGGGGGACTCCACACGGCAGAGCTCTGAGAAGGGATGGAGGACAGAGGGGTGGGAGCTGGGGCAGGGGAACAACTGAGGGGACACTGTGGGAAAGGGGGAAAGGGAAAGGGAAAGGGAAAGGGAAAGGGAAAGGGAAAGGGAAAGGGAAAGGGAAAGGGAAAGGGGAAGAGAAAGGGGAAGAGAAAGGGGAAGAGAAAGGGGAAGAGAAAGGGGAAGAGAAAGGGGAAAAGGGAAGGGAAAGAGGAAGGGGAAGAAAAGGGAAAGGAAAGGGGAAGGAAAGGGAAAAGGAAAGGGGAAGGGGAAGGAAAAGAGGAAGAAGAAGGGGAAGGGGAAGAGAAAGGGGGAAAGGGAAGG